CCCCCCAAGCTAGACAGAGAGGAGGCAGAGTCTTTGGGACCCACAGGCTCTCAGATGCGTTTGCCTCCAGCAGGTGCTGGACCCGGGCGGAGTGCTGAGCAGCGGTGACCCTGACCCTCCTCTGGGCTAAGGACCTGCTTTCCCTTCTTCCCCAGGAATCGTGGAGACCGGGGAGTGGTTGGTGGCTTACCTATGTTTTATGATTTTTTCTGTGAAGTTCCACTTTTTTCCCCCCTCCCAGCTCTACCCATGGAAATGGAAAGTGAGCCCATCCAAGCTGGCAGCTTGGCTTAGTTATTGAACCCCTCTCTCCAAGCCTTAGTTTCCTCGTTTGGGGGATAATAGTATTCACAGAGGGTTTTCTTGAGGAGACAGATGAGGTCATGTTTGTAAGCCTCTGGCACAGGGTGTGACAAAAAAGGTATTTCTCAATAATGACTGGCTGTCCCTTCGCTTCCCAGCCTGCTCGGGAGGGCGGGCCGGCTCTGAAAGCCCCAGGGAGGGAGAAAACCTACCCGCCATCTGGGGATTGGATCTCCAATTAAAAAAATAAATTTAATAAAAGTTTATTTATTTTAGAGAGAGAGGAGGGGGGGAGAGAGAGAAAGATGGAAATATGGATCTGCTGTTCCACTTATGGATACTCTCATTGGTGATTCTTGTATGTGCCCTGACCGGGGATCGAACCCACAGCCTTGGTGTATGGGGATGAAGCTCCAATGATTTTCCATTTTAATATCAGTGATTTTAGAACAAGCAGGTGCTAACATAGTTCAGGGACTCGCTGTCCTTGAAAACCCTGTTCTAGACAGAAAACCAAAGCCTCACCCCAGCATCGTCAAAAATTTTTAAATGTTTATGGGGCTGGTGTTTGTTTCATAAATGTTATTTACTTGATAAATGAAAAATATGTTAGTCTGTGTTGACAACCCTCCCCCCACCCATTTCTCCAGTTCTCCTCACTAACAGAAGTCCCTGGGTTTCCTGTGTCCCCCCGGCTACCCTGCCACGGACTACATTTCCCAGCCCCCTTGCATTTAAATGGTGCCATGTGACTAAAGTCTGGCTAATGGAGTATTAGCAGAAGTGACCTCTGCAGTTTTCAGATCATATCCTTAAAATAGAGCTGTTTGTGCTCCATTTATCTTCCCTTCCTAGGCTGGAATTTGGAGGTGGTGGCGGGGAGCTATCGGGGACCCTACGGCCAAGGGCATCGCCTGGGAGGGGCACAGTGACAGGACAGACAGAGACTCTGTCTCACTTATCTCCCGTGACGAGGCCGCCCGCGTCCCCTTGGATGACTCCCAGCCAGGACTGTCATGTGTGGGACAGGAGTGAACCTTTCTCATCTTGTTCAGGCCACTGCTGTCCTGGAGCCTCGTAAAACATCAAACCAGCATCCCAACTACTGCCTAACCTCTTGGGGATGAATCTCAGTGTGACCGATTTTATGAGCTTTTTCATCACTTCTCCCCCACTGGTTTGCAGAATTACTCATTGGGATCTTGCATTTTTGGGTAGTTAGCCAGTAAAAACAGGAAAAAAAAAATCAGCCTTTGTTCCTGGTGGGCAGAGAATTTACAAGTCTCTAAGTGGCCTGTCCAGTCCCACATGGTTTGTGTTGACATGAGCTAGTTCATATGGAGTGGCTTTTATTGAGCACTTACTACACGACAGGCACATTTTATTCACCAGCTGAGATCAAATTTCAGAAAAGACAAAAAGAATGCTTCTCCGCATGGATGAAGCGCGAGAATCGCCTTACAGCCAGCCCTTGCCAAAGGCACGTGTGTAGCAATAACACGGGAGATCGGACCCAGGGCGCACACGGCCACCTGCGCGGGCGAGTGGCCGGAGACGCAAAGGGCACGTGCGAACAGCCAGCGCCAGGTTCGCCCTGAGCCAGACCCGCTGCGCCTACCCCTGAACACAGGAGCAGGACAGAAAACACAGCGGCCTCAGGGTGGCCAGAAGCAGACCCCCGTCCACCGATGACACTGAACAAGCGAGTGGGCTCTGACCACCGGCAACAGAGCAGGTGTTAGAAAAGCTGAATAATTCACAGTGACACGGGAGGAGCTTCCGCACGGGGACTCTCGTCACCACATGCAATGCTGTGGACATTAGTAATTGCCTCATGGGCAGGTCATGTCGTCGTGACTGGAAAGTGTTGCAGGCAGGTAATGCCAGGAAAGAATGATTTAAGGGAAAAGCAAACCCTCGTAATCGGAACAATATTTTGTGAGTGAAGGGTTTCCTTGGCCATGACAATGTGGGCGCCCAACTGGTTTGCAGGGACTCGGGTACTTTCAGGTGCAAGGGACAAACAATTTTCAAACAGATGCAAGTAGATGCACACCCTGGAGGTTGGCGTGACGCGGTGACTCGGTCGCTTAGGGGCCTCTCACGCGCTCTGGCGGGCGGAGGCTGGGTGTGCAGCTTTTAATTAGGGCCTGCAGAGAACCGCGGAGGACATGCCCGACACTTAATAGAGCTAAATGGTTGTAATGATCATTCAGGTTGCCCTCTATGGAGGTGACTTGAGTTTCCCAAGTGACCTTCAAGCACTGTCGTAGCCAGGACATGGCAAGCTGACTCCAGATGCTCTTATCCTTGAATTTGGAAAGCTTTTTAAAAAAATAAGTTGTGCCCTGCCGGGCATGGCTCAGCAGTTGAGCATTGACCTCAGATCCAGGAGATGGTGGTTCGATTCCCGGTCAGGGCAAGTGCCTGGGTTGCAGGCTCGATCCCCAGTGGGGGGCGTGCAGGAGGCAGCCGATCAGTGACTCTCATCATTGATGTTTCTATCTCTCTCTCCCTCTCCCTTCCTCTCTCTGAAATCAATAAAGACATATTTAAAAACTAATAAGTCGTAGGGGAAAAATATTTTTAGTGAATAAACTACTTGTAATCATATAATGAAACGATGAAACATATTCAGGGACGCCTCTGGCCATTGACTCTCTATCGGACATAATTACCAGCTTTGTGCCTTATAACCCTTCGCATTTTTCTCCGACAGGGTTACAGAGCAGCCACTGTGTTCTCTCCTTTCCACCCCCTTCATCTCTGCTTGGCTTCCAGTGTCAATTGTTCACATTGGACACCAAGAACAGGACTCTATTATTTGAAGACCAAGTCCAAACCTAATGTAACATCGATAACCCACAAGGGCCGCTTGGCCCCGGGGGGTCTAAATGAACTGGGTGACGTTTGCCTCCTGGTAGACGAGATGCATGGCCAGGGCGGTGTGGACGTCTTCTGAGCTGGTGGATGGGGCCACGGACTCTCCTGGGGAATGAGCCAGCCTGTGCCCTCCTTCCACACAACGGGTCTCTGCCCTTGAACTCACTTTTTTTTAAATATTTTTATTGATTTCAGAGAGAGAAAGGGAGAGGGCGGGAGAGAGAGAAACATCAATGATGAACGAGAGTCACTGATCGGCTGCCTCCTGCCCGCCCCCTACTGGGGATCCAGCCAGAAACCTGGGCGGGTGTCCTGACCGGGAATCGAACCAGCGACCTCTTGGCGCACAAGGCGATGCTCAACCGCTGAGCCACAGCAAACCAACTCAAGCTATTTCTACTGGCATGCAGGTGAGGTTGGCAGGTGCGGGCAAGAGAGATTGCTGGGCGGCAGGGATAATGGAATGGAAGGTGCGGTGCTCGAACGTGTCATCAACAATTGCCCCCAAGCCAGGGGCATCCCCTGCCTTGTGACTTTGCCCTTGACTCAGATAGTTGGGTGATTATTCTTTGTTTTAATTTTATAAAGAATTTCAAGACTTTTCTTTTTAGTTCATTAATGTTCAAGCCACTGTCTAGTCTATATCTACCTGGTCCCCTTAAACCGGTGGTGTTTTCAAGTCCATCCATCCATCCGTCCGTCCGTCCATCATCTACTTTTTTCATTCATTCATTTATTAAGCTGTGTAGTCACATATCCCACTGTGTGGTAGGCACCGTATTAGGCATTTTTGGGGGGTGGCACTGGTGGATAGGTTTCTTCCCCCTTTTTCCTGGAAGTTTGGTTTACTTAGCTCCTTCCGTTGAATTAAAAAAGCTCCTAAATAATCAGAGTATCTGGGAAGTTAAGAACAACAACAGATGGACTGTTGCTAATCCGGCGAACCAACGAGCTCACCACGGAGGGCGCGGAACACGCTGGGGACGCCGTGCCTCCCGGGCCTGCCTCGGGTTAACGTCTCGTGGGTTTCTAGGCAACAGCAGATTAATTTCTCGAGTGTTTCTAGGCAACGGCGAATTTAAGAAGAAACAAATGGTGGTTTTTTCCCTCCCCTTTTCCCTTTTTCCCCCTTTTTTCTTCCCTCTTATGTCGTCACAAAAGAGCAGCTTGTCCGTGTCGCTGCCGTGAGACGCTGGACGCGGCCGGCGGGTCCGGGGGCTTCCGAGCAGCTGCCTCTCTGTCTGAGGAGACGTCTGCTCCTCTGGGGGACAAGTGTCTCGTGCACGGGGATGGGAGCGTTCGCGGGGGCTCAACGTGGGCAGGGACGAGGCCGAGCTAGGCTTTGAGGAACCGTAACCAGCAACAAACCCTGTCAGCCTTTCTATTTCTGCATCGGTGCCTGGGGTTCCTTTCGATTTTGATTTTTTGTTGTTAATCGTCACCTGAGGATACTTTTTCCATTGACTTTTAGAGAGAGTGGGAGGGAGGGAGGGGGAGAGAGACGTGGGTGTGTCCCTAAACGCGAGGATAAGATCTGCCGTCTGCCAGGCCCCCGAGCAGACACCTAAGTCAGGTGACAGACGACGCTCCGGGTTTGGGGGAGGAGGGGGGCTGAGCCTGCTCCGTGGGCTCGGGGGCCAGGCAGAGCCAACCAGAAAACATGGTGCTGTGTGGAGTTGGCAAGAGCAGCTTCCTGAGCAGGTCGTTTCAGGAGACCCGAGCCCCGGCTGGTGTGGCTCAGTGGCTAGAGTGTTGGCCAGCGGGCCAAAGGCTCTTGGGCTCAATTCCCAGTCAAGGGCATGGACCTGGGTTGCAGGTTCCATCCCCTGACTGTCAGGGCATGTGGCTCCTGTACACGCAACACGGGACGAAGGCAGAATACGGGTGGGTGGGAGCCTCGCAGCGGGGGCCGTACCTGAGGATGCTCTGCTCCAGGACCTGGATCTGGCGCTGGTCCTGCTGGTTCTGCCTCTTCATCTCTTCCTGCTCCTTCCCGCTGCTCACTCCATCCAGAAGCCATCTCTCCCGCAGGGCCTTTTTCTGATGTCGGGAAACAGAAACATGTTTGCTTAACCCAGTCCACAACCCCAGGATCTCCTGGTGCTCTCAAGTACAGGGTTTCAAGCATGAATGCATACGTGTGTGTGCGTATAAATTAAAAGCCTACTTACCCTGTTTTTTTTTTTTTAAATATGTTTTTATTGATTTTTTTTAGAGAGAGAAGGGAGAGGGAGAGAAACATTGATTGGCTGCCTCCTGTACGCCCCCTACTGGGGATCAAACCCGCAACCCGAGCATGCACCCTGACTGGGAATTGACCCCCTGACCTCCTGGTTCATGGATCGATGCTCAACCACTGAGCTACGCCCGCTGGGCATCCATGGACATTGAAGATAAATTATTCTTTCCCGCTGCATCTGGCATTTCCGTGAGTGCACAGAACACCGTCTGGAAACCACCGGACTGAGTAACGACCTCCTCCCAGGTCATCGCGTTGGCGTTGGCCTCTCAGAGGTCAAGCAGGTGCATGTGGCCAACAGGCCCATGAGAGCAGTTTGCAGCCAGAGCGTCTATCCCGAGCTCTCTAACCTCTAATTATAGCTGCTGAGCTGTCTGTAGAAATGCTTTCTCACAGACACAGTGAATATTATTCCCAAAGGTCAAACTCATCTCCCAAGGTCAGAGATGCCAAGAGAATCTCAGGGTATCAGCAGTTTAAGAATTTACCTTGATTTTAATTTACTTTTGTTTGATGGATGGTGATGATAGCTGATGAATAGTAAAGGAGACAGGTGATACCTATCAAAGGACTTACAGCCCTTAGAGCCACCTGGAGGGAGAGTTTTGGTCACTGACACCCCTGTCACTGAAAGAGTCATTTGGCTGGGCTGGTCCAAGATGCTGAATTGTGGACAGAGAATGAGTCTCATGACATGATTATGTTAAGTTGGGGCCGTATTCGTGGTTCTCAGTCTGGTTGGGAATGAGAGTAATTTTCCTCTGAGCCTTATAAAACTTTGTCCTTCATCCACAAATTGTCATTTACCCCTTGCATCTAAGTGTAAAACCTGTAATTTGGATGTGCAATCAAAATGATACAGTTCAATATTACAGTAATCAAAACACAGCTATTTTGCTTTTATGTCACGATGTAGACTTAAGTATATGAGGTTAATGGACATAATAGGCTCTATTTCACAACAGTGACATTTGAAATCAAAGGCCAGATTAGCTAAATGAAAATATAAGTGACGTGTGAGTCACAGACATTTTGGTAGTTTATTTTGTTATTATTATTATTGTTTTTAATCTTCACTCAAGGATATTTTTTTCCATTGATTTCAGAGAGAGTGGAAGGGGTGGGGGAAGAGAGAAACATCGATGTGAGAGAGACACATGGATTGGATGCCTCCTGCACCAGCCCTGGGGATCTAACCTGCAATCCAGGTGTGTGCCCTTGACCAGGAATTGAACCCACAACCTTCCGGTCGGTGCACAGGACGATGCTATACCCACTGGGCCACACAGGCTGGGCCCTTTTGGCAGTTTTTAAAGTATATATATATTTATTTATATTTTCTAGTTACTTTGGGCAGTTTTTTTCCTCTAAAGAGGAAAGGTTCCCGAAGCCCTTCTACTTTCTACACACCAGCTCAGTAGACGTGAGGTATCCGCCATGAATTAAAGTTCTGGCAGGAAAGAAAAGTTTTCTAGGTTTGAATGTATTTCATGTTTCTCGGTGGCTTGGGACAGGGACCATGATGACCCACAGGGCACACATCTCAGACACGCCTGAGGGTCCGAATGCTACCAACGTCCCGGGAAACGTGCCCCGCCCGGCACGTCGTCGGTGCGATGGTGGGATCTGGAGCTGAAGGGGCTTCGCGTGAGTGACCGCAACTCTACGAGATGCGTGAGCTCCTGCTACGGGAGGAGCACCTGGTGAATGTTTGGGGACAGGTGGGTGAGCAGGAACATGGAAGGGATGCTGGTAACCGCAGAGGCCGAGGCCGCTCTCTCGGCTTGGCGCACGCATTTCGGAAGCGATTTTTAAAATACTTGTCCCCTTTTTTGCAGTGTGTTCTGGCAGGGGGCCTTGTTGCTGTTTGGTACGGCCAACCCTTTCTGCAGAGCTGGGAGAACGTCCCCTTATTGAAACAGATGCCCTTTCCCCGGTGTCCCCTCGGCCTTGCAGGCAGTGTTCATTGTGGTATAAGTCTCGTTATGGGTTTAAGTGTCAGCTACCATTTTGAGGACACAGATAGGACTTTATATTTTTAGTGTCCTGCTTAGCACCTTGCACATATCAGGTGCTTAAGAAGTACTTATTGTCCTGGCTGGGGTGGCTCAGTGGGGAGAGCAGTGTCCCGTGCACTGAAAGTTTGCCGGTTGGGTTCCTGGCACACGCCCGGGTTGTGGGTTCAGTCCCTGGTCGAGGTGCATAGGGGAGGCAACCAATCGATGCTTCTCTTTTGCTTCGATGTTTTTTTCTCTCTCTTCCTCTAAGAAATCAATAGAAACATAAAATGAGAGAAATATTTATTGACGGAAAGGCCCTGTGTGCACCTGCGTAAGTTAGCGCTCTGGGGCCACTGCAAATGGGGAGAAAGGGCAGTTCCCCACCCCGCCCCGTTGGGTCAGTGCGCAGCTTGAGGCGGCGACAGCACCCTCAGCCCTGGGCCAGGGCGCCTGGTGCCACCAGGAGGGGCAGGGCCCCAGCAGCCCCCCCGCCAGGTGTCTCTGAGCAGCGCACACCTGGTCTCCACTGCTGCTCCGAAACGCTACGAATTGCTGGGTGCTAGAGAGTGGTCCCCTTACCGAGAAGCAGTAATTCGTTCACTGTGAGGCCAAATTGTGTGTAAATGTGTGTGAGAGAGAGAGAGGGGGAGGGAGGGAAGGCGGGACCGCAGCACTGATTCTGGAGTTAGAAATGGCCTGTCTCAAAAACTGTTGTAAATTTGACTTTTGTAAAATTTGTTTCCATTTCATCGATTTTTTTTCCCCCCGGGCGTACACACGGCATTCTTGGCTGTGTCTACCCCTCAAGCAAACTCAGTGTGACATGGTAAGGATGGCGGGCCAGCCGGGCTTTGAAACGACCCGTCAGACGTCGGAAACATCTCAGTTCATGCGGGAGCAAAGAAAGGCACAGACAGACCCCGAGAGCGAGGGCCGCTGGAACCTCATGACATTCCTGCTCTGAGGCGGCTCCCCCGTCCAGCAGACAGATGGGCTTGGCCAAGCTCGGCCGCTTTGACCCGGGTCTGTGGGCCGCATGAGCGTGGGCAAGGTTTCACTGAGGGCTCACCACGTGGCTGATGGCAGCCCGGCCACCCTGGGCAGCTGCCTGCTGGGCCCTGTTCCCAGGGAGCTCCTGTCTGTCACCCAGGTCCTGGGACTAAGCCACGTAACAAGACGCTGATACTGGGTGTTCGTTAATGACAAGGCGACCACACCCATGGAAGATGTGAAGTCTGATTTTAAAACGGAGCTTTATTTCTGGTTATGATCTCATGTTCTGTCAAAACAAAATAAAACAAAAACCCTAACCCGCACCCAGGCAACACGGGACCCGCTGCGCCGAGCTTTCGAATCCAGCGTCCTCCCCAGACGGCGTCTGTCCTGAGCCCCCGGGGGAAACCGGGCCTTTCACTGATTTCAAAAGGGACTTCCTAGCGGGACCCGCCCCCTGGGAGGTTAGGCAAGACTGTGCTCTGCCTGGGCCGGACCGTCAGGCTGAAGTCTCACGTCCATCCAAGAAAATGAAGAAATTCAGGAATAAAGTGTAACAAGTCATAATAATACCATATTTCCTATTCCCCCCATGTTTCCCCAAATGGATTCATCTCACAGGCAGGCATCGCTGGCCTGTCGGCCTCCCCTGTGGTTATCGGGGTGTCAGTGGGACTGCGCTGGGACATTTTCCTTCCTAAAGCGTATTTCCTGTTGACAGTCAAGCGCCATGAGGATATCTGAACACAGAGTCGTTGGAACGAAATTAAAGACATAAGTTACCTTCAAATGCTGGTGGGTTAGCTTCTCTTCTTCTATCTGCAGGCGCTTCTGGGAGATTTCTTCCTGTATTTTTCTTTTATCCTGAAAGGAAAAAGTTCCGGCGTCATCTTTTCAGTTTGCTTAAATCTGTTTCCTCGGGGTGTCGTTACCGAGCGGCTGGCCAGCGGGGCCTGTGGGCATCGGTGCGAGCTGCTTTGGAAACTCCCATCTCAAGGCGAAGGGGAGCCAAGCGAGCGAGTCGGAGCGCGTGACGCTTGGTAGCTTACGTGTTATCTGTGTTTTATGTGTTATCTGTGTTTTATGTGTTATCTGTGTTTTATGTGTTTTGCCCACGGAGAGCAATGCGCTGCTTTTCCAGAAAGAGCTCAGCAAGGCTCTCGTGCCCAGCGCCTTTCCTTCCCTCTCTTTTCTGTCTTCCCCGGGAGCCCAGCAAGACCGAGCTACGGAGCACGGGCTGAGAACAGCCACAGGGACACGAGTCGCAGCCCAGGGACTGTGGGGACAGTGAGGGGCCGGGCGGGGGCCGGAGGTCTCAGGGGCCACTTCGTGACGTGCAGGGCTGTGTGGCCGCTGCTGAGCGCCTGCCACAGGCAGGATGGTACTGGGTGTGAACTGTAATTGACAACTTTTACAAAAATTGATAATCACGGAAGGAAAAAAAAA